TTTGAATCATGTCAGGAGGAGGCCATCGCGGTTGTTCAATATTCTAATGGTCGTAAAGTCTATGCTTCAGTCTTACAAAAAATGAATAATTTTAGTCATCTGAATATAGTTATTTACTTCATTTGTGGCATTTGTGGCATTTTTCATTTTAAAAATGCCAAAAGGGAGGCAAAATGGACTATCACTGAAACAAGATTAAAGACGCGTTATTGACTCTGCCACGAGATTCAAGATGGCTTACCTTCAATTCCTTCCACAATTGATCTATCTGGTTCATGCGGCTCTGCACGGGTCCAGCTTGTTTAGGGTTGTTTTTGGTAATGCTGAAAATGGGTTAGGTGCTTAGTCATCTGAATCGTAGCATGTAAACCTTGCACTTTTATGCATAAAAGAACTACTCCACATTCAGCATTTAGGCCGGAGCATACAAAGTTGCTGTTAGCTAAACACACGGGTTTAGGGATCAAATTTGATGAATATAGGTTTAGAAGCATATCTGCGGGCTAAATGGAAGTCATACTGGAAAAGCAGGTCTCAAATAAATAAAATACGGAAACATGTTTCGCCGATACGTTGCCGTTGCATAACACAACTACGAGCGACCACTGATTCAACTAACATGGCATTGGGATCTTCGCCATGACCAGCATAAAATGACTGACACAATTTACCGAGGCTCGATAGTCCAATGTGGACAGTGTTCGCTACCATGTTGACCTAGACGTTCATTACGAGGACCGACGAACGCGGCTGTCTCCCTCTGCCTACATCCCACGCTAACAGCTGCTAATCTAGCCACCCGCAGTCCAACTGATCCACTCTCTATCCTTCCCCCCCTATCACAGAGAGTTACAATTGTTCTGTTTTACCTCCCCCAAGCTTAAAAACCTACCTTAACCCTGTGCTCCCTCCCCCTCCTGCAGACCAATTGATTGTCTGTCCTGTCGCGCTCACTGATCTGGCTTGGCAATCTCCCTGTCTCCCTTGACTTCATTCCGCCTGACGACGGATTGGTTTCAGCAGCTTAAAACTTCGGGAATAAAACTCGGATTTATCGAAGAACCTCTTCGTTCTTCTTTATATGTGACTGGAATGCATACCACCTCGATCCTATATAACTATAGATGGTACAGACCAAGACAAAAAGGACTGAAATGGGTATTTCTGATTTATTAGCCGTCGTCAAACAGCAATACCTAATCTCAGGTATGAATTATCTAAGGTTCGAGCCGGGGACCTTTGGTCATTCAGTTTAACGCTCCAGAATTTTGGTCCCCTTTATCTCTGTCAGTATTCCATTATCTGCGTAGATGTATGTTCAATTAACAAGTCCATAAATTACTCAATTCATGAAGCTATGTGTCAGGAACATAACTGTTTAGAATTGGACTGAAGTTTCAATGAACATATTGGTCGAACAACGAACTGTTCCGGAGTTACAACGTAATGCCCATTTTACAAACCAGTAGTACGAATAGCAGTATACATTTCGAATAGAAAAAAAATAAGACTTGCTCCCTAGTATATCTACTGTACGAGTTTGGGAATAACGCAAACGAAAACTGTATGGACCGTCCTAAAGAGGAATAATGGACAATACCTTCCAAACTACCCAACAATAGAACCTACCTGTCTGCCAGCACCTGAAGTTCCCGCATTCGTTCCTCTAGGGTTGGTACCTCCATTTTAATTCCCTACAAATAATTGTAAATAAAGTGAAAAACGGTTTCTGTCGTGAGTAGGGATTCAGGCATGTTAGTTTCCTGTGCCTCTGAATAACTTTAGAATAAGTGCCGTCAATCAAATCGGTCATCCACTCGTGGAAGCCGTTACATTCGAGAGAGCAAGATAAATCTGCGACCATTCACCAAGTGTAAAACCTGAGTACCCAGCCTTCAAAGATGCCAAGGCCCGGAAATTGACCACACTTCCAAAGACTTTCATGTCTTCATACGCGAGCTCCAGCGCTAGTCCATTCGTGGATAACCTATCAGTCGTTTAATGCGGCTGCGCCTACTCAAAGTACACCCCAGGGAACAAGGCCAGTGAAAAGTTAAAATGGGAGGTCCACAAATAATTAACATACTCGGGCTATAATAGGGTGGTCTGCCACCCACCCACCCCAAAGGTTAGAATAATCTCCATTCTGAGCAGTTTGAGCTTATTTGTCAAACAAAATGGTATCGCCATCTTAATCGACAATGCCCTTTAGGGCGTCACTAAGCAGTTTAGGATAAAGTGCTCCGGTGTTTGCATTTGAGCCACCATTAGCGGTAACCTGTACTTTCCGTTGTTTGGCCCAGTCTGTATGCCGACAATTTGCATATGAGACCGGGCCAGTACCTTAGATACCGAGGCTTTTGCGGTCACTGAGTTTCAAGAGGCGAACGCGTACGGTACACACATTTTTGGTTACCTCTCTTACCTTCATAGCGTTTCACTTCACCTTCTGGTTAAGACGACATCCGAATGTGACTTTCCCAGACGGACTGTCACATGATTTACAGGCATGTTTTTGTTTCGTACTCAGCTCGCCAATATACGAATCAGAAATCTATTCGTCTTTCAAACAACTAGGGAATGCTTCAAGTTTCCATATCAGCATTTACTTCTTGGCCTCCACGGTGACACGTTGAGATCGTCCAAAGACTGCTTATACGTCAAGTACTCTGATGATCCGGGTTTTGGCGCTTTTGAAAAAGGTGACTGATCTCTAACGCTTGATAAGGACTCGGATCATAGCTGAGCATGATCGTTGAGTGATATCAGCTCCGTCCCGAAATTCTTTAAAATACTCCCCAATATAGTTTCTTCTTCATCCCTTAATATGTTTTATTCCTCATCATCGACGAGGATACGCATGTCAAGCGCCCAAACATCGCCCCTACTGACGACGAGCAGGTCCGCGATTCACGTCGTCCACGGAAAGAGAAGCAATGGGAAAAATTAAACATTGCTGCTGACTAACCAAGAAAAAGCTAGCCTCGTCATGGACCACGTCCAATTCAATTGAGAGACACAAAACCCCCTCTCACAAACACCAGCCCTCCTCTCTAAGATCTACCCGTTGATGGCTCTGCCATCGTTACAGGCCTCCAGCGTCTTCACTAGAGACCTGTTGTGGACACTAACAATTGCGGCCACGAAACGACAAATCCCGAGGGTCACTCGCTGTACCCTGGCGCAGCTATGCAGTGGCTACCCCATGCTCCTTCGCCAGTACCAACACCGACTCGACCCGTCCACATCCGATAGCTGTCCCGACTGCGACGTCTCACCACATGACTGTCAGCATCCCTTGGCCTGCAGCTCCT